GATAGCTCGAACATCGCGATGGAGTTGCCAAATGCGCTTTGCGTGCTGTGCTTTTCCAAACATGGAACCGTTTTCTTTGAGGAACGTGGAGCAGCCAGTTGAGTCCCATGTTAGCCGCTCGTGGGGAATACACACGTTATAAACATAGAAGGCTATAGACAACATGTAACAATGCTGTATCTACATATGTATATAGCCACATACATGTATTGGATATGGATTTGGTCTTGTTGAATACTCTCCTTGAAGCCAAAGGCGCGGATGTTGCTCATGACGGCGCAGTCCTGCACTAGAGCCGGCGGGGCCGCCTTGAACGCCGGAGCCCTGCAGCCGCAGACGCGGGGGCGAAACGTGGGAAACATGCTTTGGGCGAAAGGCGTCAAGCGGTTTAAATACATGCTGTATTGTGTTTGAAGTCTTCCCATGGCCTCCATTTGGAAGAATACGTGTGATTTTCCCATGTGTTTAAAGGGAACCTACCCCTCCCACCAATTAATATGGAAGCTGACGTTGGGTCCCTTTGGAAGGAAAACTGTTTTTTCAGGACCCTCCTGTCAAGTTCCATGTCGTTTGGCGGGAGGGTACTGTATTGGTTTGTGTGGTTTAGGGACTGGAAAGCTAGATGGCACACTTCCTTGCAAGTAAGTAAAGGCGATGACTAGCCCAAAATGGTAGAGCTTTCACCAAACTACGATTGGATGAACTGGGTGCTGAAGACCCCGTAATGCTTCACTTTCCCAAATGGCAACTCGTGTGTTTCTTTTCTCCTCATTTTTTCTGAGTCTCGTTGGCCATGTGTTTCCCTTATCTGCCGGGCAGAAAGGGAATTGGGCCATCAATTTCGGTCCTGCATGCCTGGAACAAGTATGTTTTGACCGCGCGCTACGTGGCACAGGTGCTTCAATTGCCCCAAGAAGACAAACAGATGATGCGTGATTTTATGACTTGTTCAGACCCCCTCTTTGTCAGCCACCTGACCATGTTCCGAGAAATCCATATCACCCTGCTGGCTGCAGGATGCTCACCACGGAACAGTCCTATCTCAGGGTTTGGGCCTCCCACTGTTCGTGCGGTGTTTGTCCAAATTGAATTCCCGGCAGTTGGGCAACGCTTTTGAAGGAACCTCCTTTGAATGGGAGGGGTGGCCAGGTACATCAGCGCTGCAAGGTGCAAGAGAAACAGTTGGGATCCAGTAGGGTCAAAGGGGCCCATGGCTTTGCCAGAGCTGTTGATGCTTCACCTGTATATTTTCTCGTGTCCTTTCTAGCCCTTCGTTCTTGGGCCAATTGAACACACGCAGGAGGCAACCACTTCTTCGTAAGGGAACCGGCTGCGGGGATCGCTTAGTTTCTGGCCTTGCTGGTGCTATGTTATGTATTTCGAGGACTCGAACTGTGCAAACATACCTCAACGGTGTGTTCCTTTGACTGGGGCTCGGCCCCTGTTGCAAACGTACGCGTGTTTCACTCGAGTCTCAACATCGGCATAAGGTGCAAGACCACTTCCTGGTGCGCGGCGTGAACGTGCGCTCGCCTCAGATCAAGACAGGTAGGCAGCAGAGCATGGGCATAGCGCGGCGACATTCCACCGGTTTTTGGTTTTGGCAGGCGCCGGCAACTTGGAGCCACTAGGCCAAAATGAAAGGCGTCTTGCATTCCCATGATTAGTTCCCACAATGCTCAGCATCGGTGCAGGCCCATGAACAGAAAACAGGCCCTGCAGAGTCGCCACGAGAGCGATCAGAAGATAAAGTTTGTAGTGTTTGTTCTTTTGCGACTGTTTGCCTGTTTCCAACTTATCTACATAGACTAAGTTGTTGTGAGAGAGTCAGACGTGCACAAGGTCCAGAGTCTGTCCTGCACATGGGTTTTGGACAAAGGACAAGCCTTGCCTTGTATATGAGCTGCCCGCGCAGAAGTCCAGGTGGACCCCTTGCCTTGTGGGTGACCGTAAGTTTGCTGAAAGGGAAGGGACAAGGGAAATACCCACAGCAGCTATACTATGTGATGGATGTATGCGACAAGTAGCTACATAGTGGACAAGGCTGAACTTCCTCCGGTTCCTCTAACCGCGTCCCCTATACCTTTCAATTCGTTGTTTGATTGGCATATCCTGCAGAGTGCGCAGAACCAAACGAGGTCCTGTCATCTCTCTAGTCCTCAGGGAGAAGCCAGATTCTTGCAGGCTAAACCCGGGCGAGCATGATGGGCTGGCAACAGCGGCCGGGTTCTCAGTTGATTCAGGTCAATCTCCCAGCCCATGCGCTTTGCATTTGTGAATTTGGATTCCCAAGGGAATCAGGCTACCTTCTTGCTGGTGCTCCGTAGGGAATGAGGGAATGATTCCCACAAACCATCCCTTGTGGTTTCCTTTCAGGGGTCCCCTGGGCTCATTCCCACATTCCCTACTGAGCACGGGCAAGTCTTCAAGTGCAGAATTGAACTCTCAACGCCCAAGGCTTGCCGATTTGGACTTGGGATCGCCCACATGCTTCAGGGCCGTTTAGGAGGTTGCAGGTCAGTTGAACATGCTGCGCCCGTGATTGTACTACTTTGTTTTCTGAGTGTTGGATCCAGGCTCAAGTTATAGCAGTGACACATGCGTGCAACAAGTGGGATTTTCGCGCAGGCTGTGCCCAGTGGTTCTTCGCCCCCGTGTTAATTGGTTCCCCTGAACCGAGTTGCCTCTTGTTCCTGGGTCGCTGGGCTGGCGTATAGCCCAAGGTGAAAGATGCCTTAGCGACGCAAATCCGCTCACTGGAGCCGTCCTGGTGGCGGCTCGGTCCCTGCCTCAAAGTCGCATCGCAACTTGCAGAGGTGGAAGCTGGCAGGGCCCCTGAAGATGTTCAAAGGGTACCTGGCGGCCTTCAGATGGACAACTCAAAAGGAACACATTCGGTCCGGAGAGTCTGGAGGGCTTCGTTCACAACACCTGGCTTTGTGCACGCGCCGCAATCTCTTTGGGCAGCCAATTCGGACTTCCCAAAAAAGGCCATGGGTGTGGGAACACGTGGGAACACTTGCATGCCATGGCTCAAACTCCCGTCTTGCCGTCTTTTGGATTTCGGCCGAAGCGCCTTCCCTCGGAGGACCCGGTTTGAAGACGTGGTTCCGTTTACGGCCTTCGAGCTTCCATGCAATCGCCCGAAGTATGCCGAACTTGAGAAGAGAATCCTTTTGCATCACGGGACGTGGACAGGAGTGTGCAAGCCTACATGTCCTTTTCCAAAGGCCCTTGTCCACTTGCATGGTTGTTGGCAAATGTAATTTGTACCCGCAACCCGCGCCCCCTCAATTTCGACAAGTTCCAGCAAGAGTAGGGTTTTTGTTGATTTTTTCTCCGAGGGTCCCCATTACTTTCCTAGTACTGACAGGGCTGGTCTTTGGTGTGACCTTACCCCCTGGGACCTTGCTTTTCTGAACTGCCAAAGCCTTGCTGGTGCTCAAATTGGAATATGAACCCAGAGGTCCCCTTAAAGGAATCCACCAGTTGCATGGTTTATAGGGGTCATTCCATTTCCCATTCCCTGCTTTTTTGCACCAGCAAGAAAAGGTTAGACCACGGCTCTGGCCTTCAACAGGTCAGCTCATGGCTTGCTGAGGTGCGCAATTGCCACTTCAACTGGAGGGCTGGCTGGCGGGCGTGCAGCTGGCGGGACGGCCCAAGTGGGACGGCTGTGGTTCAGACGCAGTGCACAGTTGCCCCGTTAAGAGCAACGCAGTCTTTCAAAACGGGGGCTGTGCGTTTTGATGCACGGGAGGGTGGAAGGGGAATCCGGAAATTGTGCTTTGCGCAACGACTTTTGGGTCTTTTGAATCAAATTGAAAGCTGCATTTCTGGTATTCCCCATAAAGAGCCTGGGTGGCTAGCCAGGGCACGTGCACGGCCAACCATGAGACGTCAGCCCTCTTGCGTTGTCTAACGCCTGCGGTTTCAGCTCACTAGCCGGATTGCTTACGTAGTTATTTGCATTGGTGTCACCATTGTATTTGCTGCATGGTTGTTCCAAGGACAGCCTGGAGTGGGTGGTGTTTTTGCAGGCGAAATCCATCCTTGCACAAGCCCTGGCAAAAAAAGTCCAATCAGGCCATGCCAGCCCCCCTCCAAGCCCCCCAACAGTTCCGCAGGGGTCATTGTGTTGTCAGTTTTTGGGGGTTATCAAAGTCAGAAATGGGGTTGTCTCCCTTTAACCCACCACTTAGGCCATGGTAAAATAATGAGGCCAGTTCCGTGACACATGGGATTTATGAGCTAGACCGCCTCCTTCCAGGCCAGTGTGGAAGAAGCCAAGGGCTCCATGATTACAGTCAACGTGCACCCGGTGTACCCAAAGCCCCACGCACCAGCCTCAGTGCCAGCGCAGCATACTCAGCATTTGTAGTGGACCCCGGCTTGTTTGCGGCAACTCTGGTGTGTGGTTTGGGTTCTTCACTTGAGTTCTCATGCTTGGCCAGGCTGGGAATGGCCCGGGGGGCCGTTATGGCGGACATGGGGCATGGTACAAACACTCGTAAATTGTGGGACTTGTCAGTTTGATGTTCATGACGGCGAGACTTGGCATCATGGCATTAGAAGGTGTTTGGGTGATTCTTGGACTGCCAGAAAAGAAGTGCATTCGCCTTCAACTAGCATAGAAGTGCACCGTCTCTAGGAAGGGCGCTCTTGCCAAAGGGACTCGGTCGTCAAACAAGGACCTGCTTTTGCCCAGGCTCCACAGCAGTGCTGTGGAGCGCAAAGTTGTGTGGCTCCAGGGGACCGCAGGTTTTAGTCTACTTTTCTATTTGCCAGGGTTCTATTTTGGGCTTCTATTTTTGAGCCACACCAATCATACATGTATAATAGTTGTGTGTTTGTATCTCACTACGCGCCAACTATTCCAAAGCTGTTGAATTCCCCTTGCAGGAAATCACAAAGACATGGATCTGAGTTTCCACCCGGTCAACCGTCACCCATCCCTCCACGCGTCGCCCAGGTGTGGTCGACTTTCCTGGGCTCTGCGGATGCGCCAATGGTGCCGGCTGGCCAGGCCGGTTGCTAGGGAGCCTTTTGTTGCCTTCGTCACTTGACGGAACGTCGGGTTCTCAGCGCTTGCCGTGGAGGCCCAGCAGCCTTTGCCTGAGAGCCGCATGAGATGTGAGGGGCACATGTGTTCCATGCCTCCATCAAGTTCTGAGGATCCATCTCGCAGGGCCGCTGAGCTGACCCTTTGCTTTCTTGTGCTGCTCGTTGGCGGACACTATGCTGTGCATGTGCGTGTTGGAAGCTGATTGGCACTGTGCGAGGTGCCTTGTGAGTCATGCTTGAGATATTGGATGTTGAAGGCGACCTGCGTTAAACATCCACATGCAAGTGCGCACCACGTGAAAAAGGGAAGGGGTTCTTCAAGGAGACCCTGCGTGGTGCTACGTGTTCTTCCGGGAATGCAGCTTCTTCGCCTTTCAAGCGCACGTCACAAGCTAATCAGGGGAGAACTAGCTCAGAAGTTGAACTCAGGGAAAAACCAAGCTGAACCCTGTTGTGGTCTTGAGACCAGGGGGGCACCGGCCAAGGTTGCAACATGCCCCTTGGGAGCCAGACCTAAGCCCATAGGTGCCCTTTTTGGTTGTTTTGCTAGAAAAATGGATGGCCCTGGTGTACCTGGTGATTGAATCATCTCCCAGGGCCATCCATTTCCCCTAAAAGGACACCTATGCCTAAGCCGCGAGCGAGCCAGGAGCCCGTGGCCTTCGTGCCGCAAGACTTGCCCGGAGGGCGCGGCGCTTGGGGCGCTTGGCTTCCGGTGGCTTTCAGCGGGGAAGTGGTGGCCGTCTGGGTGGCTGGCTCGAAGGGCAGCCAAAAGGAAAACCCGAATCGGTTTGGGGTGTCCCCCGTTTTTGTTTTGGTTTGGCTTGTTTTACATGATTGAAGGTTCTCTGGTTGAAGGCTCTCTGAGTACCAGAATCTAATATAATTATGCCTGGTTGGGGGGGGGCATGCTGATCTTCTTGATCATATTCTAAGTGGACAAAAATTATCCTTGTCAAAGTTGCTAAGGGAGCATTATGACTTCTGGAAAGCCGGCCTCGGAACCTAATAGCGAGAAACATGCCGTTTCTTGGCGGATCCCCGCCGTCTTCTTAGGTTTTGAGACTTTCAGGGTTTGGGAGGTGTCCACTTAACCCACCAGGTTTATTCCAGGCAAATGTCTCAAGACCAGATGGCTGGGTTGGACCGGAGCATGCCCTCCCAGCTCACGGCAAGACCGTGGCACCCCACTTGGATGTACTTGGTGCTGAACAGTTCGCTGGTAATTTCCGCAAAGGGAAACCGCATTTCGATAGCTGCCTTCATGACCCATCAACAAGCAAAGTACATTGAACACTTCACATTGCCTGGGAAAGCGCCGCCGTTTCAGCATGATCCTTGAGCATCGGTGATGCCTTAAACTTTGGCTGTAAAAACAATAATAAGCTTGCGAGAGGATGGAACTTGCCTTATCTTTTGGCAAGTTGGCCTTCAAGAGCGTGTCACCAAGAAGGTTCCCGTGGTTGACCCTAGCAAGAGTCGATACTGCTAAGCTGGCAGAAGCAACTGATCTTAATTGAACAGCCAGCTTTGTGCGAAGCAGAGTAACCTGCTTGCGTTGCTCATCATCGTTGGCGGGTAGGTTGGGGTTGGAGCACCGGTTGCTGTGGACGGCATATTCGAAGCAACTCCTTCTTTCTGGTGTAAAAGGGAGGGTTTGGCAAATCACAACAACAGACAAATTACCAGGCCATTGGTTTTGCGTGGTCACATTGGTTTTGCAGGTTGGTTGGTATCGGTTTCTTGTGGTAGTATTGTCAGCTGCTCGCAAGACCAGAGACCAAAACGACAGCCTCCCCACTAGGAGGCAGCTTGTTCCTTTCTTCGGAAAGAAAAGGAGCCTGCAACCAAGCAAATGTAAATGCAAGGGCGCCAAACCCCTTTGCAGGCCCTTAAACGTGACTTCTTGATCTTCCTGGCAAGAGACATGCATGCCAACTTGGGCCGTGTCTATTTACCCTTTTTGGGGGTCGTGTTAAAGGACAACCAAAGGGCAAACCTCAACTTTGAGGGTCTCCCTCCTATTTTGAGACGCACCCCTATTTTGGCCACTTGTTTTTCGGTGGTCCCTCAAAACACGACAAACCCCCCCGTCACCCGAGTCACGCTGCATCCGGCGGCTATCTCGCCATATCTCGCCCAGGGCCTGCCAGGGCTGCAGCGTGCGAAACCTGCAGGTCCTGGCGGCCTTGGTCTCAGATCGCGGACGTCGCGGAAACGGCCAGATGCCAACCGCCACGGGGAGTTTCTGCCGGGGTTGGGGGGCGTTGAGTGGGGGGGGGGTGGGGGGGGTGGAGGCTGAGGCGGGGGGTGGACACTTTTTGGTTTGAGCAGTTGCCACCTTGCCATTGATGTGTTTCCACATGGAGCACTTCCTGTTCAACCTGCTTAAAGGGATTTGTGATGGAATTTAAGGACTCTCTAATGGGTTCCCTAAAACTCCCTGAAAAATTGTAGAGAACCTAAAGGAACCCTAGGGCTGTCAACTACCCACCTTCCCTTGTACCTACGCTCCTTAGGGATTCCAGAGGAGGGGAGTTTCTCAGATTCCCCTTTGGTGTTTATACAAAGGGAACAGGACGACAAGCGTTTTAGGGGGCCTTACCTTGAGGATCCTCTCCGTATGATAACTCTGCATATGTTTCCAAATGTGGAACCTCCTTTTGGACTTTTTGCGGGGCCAAAGGGGACACCGGCCCCCCCCCATTCGGACACATATGAATTGCTAGGTGGCAACACTAGGAATGCTCATGTTGTTCACCCATGTGGTCGGCAGAAACTTTGAACTCTCCTTCTACAGCTTGTTAGTCCAGTTTCTGTGCAGCGGATTGTAGCGGCATGGTTATCATTGGGGTAAATGGGGGATCTTTTGCTGCTGCAATTCATGTCTGGCATGCCTGTCTGCAGCCCCAAAGCTTCAGCAGGTCACATTCCTTTTCGGTTGGGTGATTATTTGCCTTCGTGTCTGTGTGCTGTTTGTGAATCGGTTTAGTGGCTCCCAGGTTGGCAGCCAGCCCAAAGGCGAGGTGAAGGTCTAAGGGCACGCGCTTTTGCTGAGGTCCATCCAGCCATTGGCTCCGAAAATGTCGATCCTGCAGGAGGGTGCTTGTGGCCTTTCCGCGAGTTTTGAGGCTTGGCTACTGATGATTTCTCGCTTTTGGACGGTCTCACCTGCTTCAAAAGCGGAGTGGAACCGCTCAAGCCGGCCAGTGTGGGTTTGCCATGCCTTGGGGCACCTGCGCGCAAAGCACATCTGAGTCCTATGGAGGCAACTCCATGGTCAGGTCTCTATGAACCCATGGTTGGCATTCACCGACTTGTCTCAACACCCACAAGGCACCTTTCTTGGGAAGGTTTTCCAGCAGTACAGGAGTGATTCGGATCTTCTTCGACAGCGTGATCGTGGTGGACAACCCCAACGCGAAGATACGGACTGTGCCGCCATGCACCTGCCATCACCTGCCCATGGTGCAACAGATTGCAGTTCATACCACTGGTGTCACTATTTTGACGGTTTCTGGGGGTTATCAAAGTCAGAAAATTGAGTTGTTTCCCTTTAACCCACCACTTATGGGGTGACTTTGATCATGGTAAAATAATGAAGCCAGTGGTTACCAGGGTCAAACGTTGCCTGGCTTAAGGAATACCTTCTACCAGCCTCCAGGTTGGCCGAGCCCACATTGACAGCGGCTAGAGGCAACTTGCTGATTTTGGTTGCCAAGGCTAGTTGTTGAGCACATGTTGGGAGACTTGGCATGCTGCTGTATCATTTTGGGATTTCTGTTGGTTTATGGGTATTTCAATGAGTCTGCTATTCTTGATCTGGTTTCAGCAAGCTTCGCCTCTCCATCGGCAGCACATCTCTCCATTGGCAGCAGATGTTCCATTACAATATGCCAAAGCATTTTGAGACGAAGTTCGCACATCAGACACACCCGGTCTTGCGGGTTCTCCGCGTCGGGCTCCTTCTCTTTGACCTTTCGAGCATTTCGGAGCCTTATGAGAGATTCCTTGAGTGAAGCAGCTTGCAAGCAGAGCTATTCTCATCACCAATTAATCAATTGGTAGCGTTACAGTTGGCAAACTCGGAGAATGTGGGCGCTGCACCCCTTCATGAGGTTTACGCGTGCCAAACGCAGTGAAAGACATGTTTTCCGACGCTTGACGTAGGCGTTGTGGGAGTATCGGTCCTGGGGATTGTCCGTTTGTGCGACTGCCGTCCCCAAGCGATTGCTAGTTCAGAGGGGCAACTCGAGCGTCAGGATCTATCCCAAAGCGCTGGAGGAGGTTTGCAAAAGCAAAGCGGCTTGGCTGGGGATGTAAATGACTCATGCTCACATGACTCGCGGGTTTCCTTCAAAGGCCACAAGGGCATTTGGATCTTGGAGGCTCGTTGGCCAACTCTTGCATGCAGGACCGAACTGTTTGTGCGGCATCCGATGTTGCAAGCTTTCAGGTGCCCCAGTTGTCCAATTTGCGACGCTGAAGATTGTGCCGTTTCCCAAAAACCAAAAGCAAGAAACTGGCTGGGGAAGCAGTTCCCCCCGGCGACCTGGCCGCTAATTAAGATCTGTGCAGCCCAAGGATTTTCTGGAAACAGGGCCCTCCAAAAATGACATCATGCGATTATAAGCACATTGAACACCTGAGGTAGGTCCATCATGAGGAGACCTATGCTAGTCAATTTTGTGGTGGGTGTCCCAGTACCTACTCAGTAGGGGAACGATCTGCTTTTGAGGCAAATTAGAACTGCCACGAGCCATTGCGCCGGAACATGTGGCTTGGCACAATGCTTCTCAGTTTGCAACAGCAGCAATTGAATTGAACGGAGAACACCCTCCAAGGTCGGGCAACAAACAACAATGTTGATGTCCACCAAAGGGTCCGCTTCCAATCGATTTTCCTGCCCACGTGAATAGGCTTCGGCAGTGGGATCTCATGTGCCATTCGAGGAGCACATTTACTACCCCCGGGACACCGGCACTGGTGATTTGAAGGCAGGACCCGGGCCCCCTTGGGGGGCTGTAGGAGGTGGCAAGTGCAGTGAAGACCTCGCCTTTCCGAAGACCTCCCAGGGCGGGTCTTGCTTGCCGAACAGTTGATTACCGGCTAGCTTCCATTGGTTTGATCGAGAGTATTCAGCTTGAGGCATGCATGAAGACACTGAGCTGAATTAGCTCCTGTTGCTCAACATGTTGGAACATCCGTTCCGTTTCTCAGGAAAGCGCCGATCACTGCACGGCAGTCACGCAAGTAGCCAGCTTTGTGAATGCTAGAAGGCCGCCATGGGGACTGCCCACATGGTTGACCCCTTATTGAATACCTGGAACTCTCCCCACATGATATTGCGAGCCTTTCCTTTTGGCGCCCTCTACGGCCATTGGAATTTCTATTGCTTAGGAAGAGACACAAGCAACGACGAATCAAACGGGTCTCGCGGGAGGGACTAGGCTTGTCATTTCGTGCCAGGTTGCAACAAGCCTTGGCCATTCAACAAGGCGCGCGGAGAAACATGTGCACTGGTCTATGTATTTGTCACATGGGTGACTGACAGAGGGGGTTTCGGGGAGGCCTCTGTCAATTCTTCGCGTGAATGTCAGGAGCAGGTATGATACGCCTTCCCCAAACCAATGAGCATCACCTCAGGCCAACAGTTGCTGACAGCTCACATGCCAGGACCATTTTGTTTGGCATTGTTGGTCACCTGGGTTCCCATGCAGAACGCCAACTGGCTTTGCTTGGGCGCTTGGTGATTTCTTGCCATCAATATGAGTGGTGCAACATAAAGTTGGATTGATCGATGCGCGTCATTGGCCATGCAAAACAGGTGTTTGGATATGCTTGGACACCACCACCCAGCAATCCAGCAATTTGCAGGGAAGGCATAGATGGTAGCTGAAGATGTTGAAGGATGAGCCTAATTAGCCTAAGACAGCCTGCCTGGCTGTTTGGCAAACAGCTGTTTGTGTTTTGACGTGTCAATGCCGGGCGTCAATGAAATTGCCATGGCCTGGGGCTTTGGAAGGATGGCCCTTGGTTGCGCGGTTTGCATTTGTGCACATGGCAGCTCGTGACGTGAAAGCGATTGATCCTGAACGGAACTTTGGATATTGGTTCGCAGACTTTTGCCCAGCCATCCCCTCCCAAGAAAGGTGCATCAAATATAGGGTCCTGGGGGGTACATCACCCATACTGCCTAAGCACTGATCTGCAATATCATCACAATAAATTGTTGACCCCTCCACTTCGTTACAAAGATCGCGGAGACGTATACCCTCCCACCAATTAACGTGGAACCTGACAGGGGGGTCATGGAAGACCATTTGCCTTTTACAGGGACCCCCTGTCAGGTTCCATGTTAATTGGTGAGAGGGTAATTGTCAGATAGATGCACGAGGATTCCTTTCCATTGCGCTGTTTCTGCTGGCCTCAAGTTGCCCTGCGAGCCTTACAGGGCACCACATCTTTGGTTTCTCCCCCTCAAGCAGGATGGTTGCAGTGTCAGTTGCCCAGGCGTTGCACCCAAATGTTCGGCTCATTTCTCGTGCTGTGCCGACGATATGGATGGTAACATATGGTAGCCAATGGCAATCCCGGGAGTGTGATGCATGTTCTTGTCGCGACTCTTGTGAGTTTGATGTGCTAATAAAAAATGTTTTGCACAAGTCCCAGGACAAACATGAAACTTGTGAAACTATGTTTCACTATTGACTCAACTCGCGGAAACTGCAAGTATTCCAGCGGATGTATTAGCATTTTCCGGCCATTTCCCCAGGATGGCGCCCGGAATCCCGGTGGAAGCTGTGTGCCAAGTGCATCGGGTCTCCGACGCCTCGGTCAAGGCGTCCAGTGGGCATATTCCGGTCCAGTTCTTTGGCACCCAAGTGGCGATTGTTTGCTTTGTCCCTGTTCATTCCTGTTCCCTTCAAGCACGTGGAGCTTGAAGGGGGCCTCCCCAAGAGTGCTCCAGATTTCGAGTTCGGCAGGGCTTGGGGCCCAGATCCCCTATTCCTTGGGTCACTCCGAATGTCTTGCCTGGGCATGTGAGGTCGACTTTGGTGCTGCAGGAGACGTATTAATTGTGAGAGTCGTTCCCCTGATTTGTCACTAAGCGTCGGCAACTAAGTCGCTGGATATATGTGAGTTGTTCATACCAGTGACTGGAAATTCCATTCTGCTGATGTAGTAGTAACTAGCTCTTGAAAGCACGGCCGATGCTGCGTGCGCGAGTCTCATCAACACAGACACACTGGCAATTTAGGGGATGGTCAATATGTGACTCTTGCCAAGCCGGGCACCCTGGCGATGCTCCTGTAGCATGCAGATTTGCATGAAGGGGCAGGGAGCTTTTGCCGTTTGCTGCTACCTGCTCATGAGCACCCAGCTTCAGTACTGCAAGGTTTAAGTGAGGAGCGAAGACTTGATCTGATTGACGCGCCAGCTACTTCTAGCACGTGTCTTTCTTCATTTCGCGAATATGACCAAGTCTGTACTATGTTAGCTTCGCACTTGACAATCTCAGTCGCCCAGCCCCGACCCTGAGATCTCCAAGCCTCCTTGTTCCGGCCACCTTGGTACAGTTATATGCCCAAAAAGCGTATTGCATGTCCTTTATGTCTCATGTCTCCATCTCCTCGAAGCAAGTGAGCATGTGTGCCATCAAGTACCGGTGGCTGTCCAAAGCTTTTGGCTCGAGCTCGGCGACATGCGCAGACTATCCATTACAAGTGGACTTCTCCAACCTAAAAAAGTCCATACTTGGTTGGCTTAAGCAGCTGAAATGAATGGCAGTGGTGCGCTCCAATTGCGCACTTGCCAAGAGTCGCTAGGAAGCCACATCCATGAAATGTGTGTTTGAAAGATCTTATTCCAGGCAATCGTTCTGAGAGGTATCTAGAATCCCTACCGGAAACTCTTACCGCACGTGCCCCGCTCACGGTGCACAGCTCTAAACCGGCCACGGTCACATTACATGATGAGCTCTGGCTGCAGCGTCGTTGGTGTTTTGGCAGCTGCCCGCATTTTAACCTGCATTTGCCCCTTTGAGTCCTCGCGAGCCTTTTGCTTTCTAGGGATTCATGAGATTTAGGAAGTTCAAGACTGGTCTCAGGCTGAGACAAATTGAACTATTAAACCACAAGGCCAGGTTTAAAGTTGAAGAGTCTTTGATGTTTTCAGTTCATCTTTTCTCCGCACTTCAATGTTTGTAAGGTGGAAGCACTGACCCATCGCAAGTACTCAGTCTCCCAAGGCCTAGTTGTGAATCTTTGGACCCTTGCTGTAGGGGTCAGCCGGTGCAGTTTGCATTTCAATCGGGGAGGGGCATGGCAGGGGGGTTCGGGTCCCGGCTGGATTGTTCCCGCTTGCTGCCATTACACATTGCCAAATTGCCCGGCAAAGCCGCTTGCGTTGCCGTTTGTTTAGCCTTGTCATTTCGATGTTCCTGGTGCCAAAAGGCAGCGTTGGCACTTTGGCAAACGGTGCCAGCTCAGCTTTCGTTCCGCCCTCTCTCCAGCTAGAGCATTTGCGCACACGATGCCGTTTGCGCAAATGAGAACATGTAGGCACTCACTGCGGCTTGGAGCTTCCAATTGCTCTCTTGGCTTCTGGAAGGGGGAGCAGTCATCAAGCTTTTATCAGAGATCGGCTGCGGGGCTGCTTGAAGGTTGCGTAAACGTTGGCAAAACGCTGTATGTTGGGTCAAGATGGTTTGCGGGCTTTACGCACGATGCAGAGGTCTGCTTCTAGTTTGCCATGTGTTGACTAAACATATAAAACTTAGCCCCATTCAAGCTCCCCTTTTTGTATTTGTTCGATTCACGGCACGTCCCACAGCACATGGTCGGAGTCAAGCCTCTTCTGAACATGTTGTTCTGCGGTCTGACTAGAAATACTCTCAGTTTTGAGTTTGCCCAACACTTGGAGGTGGGAGGGTACATGCGCTCGAACAAATGCGTTCCAATCAACCGAGACCTGCTTGGCTAGTGACTGGCGCAGGTTGTATTTACCTCGAGCTTGCAACAAGTGATCAGAGTTCCAGAACGAGTTCCTTCTAATTGATTCCTGGGTGAAGCTTCAAGCCACCGACCCAAGAAACCCAAACAAATTAGGGGTCCGCTTGGGTGCGACGCGAGGCTTGATGGCTACGCCTACCCGGGCTTTACATATCCCCCAGAGCTCACGCAGTTCCGCGTCTTCTGTACCCTGGCGGGTGCTCAGGGGTTTTCCGCAAGAGCGGCAGACCGTCATTGAAACCTAAGAAACTCACGTGTGCTTTGTGAGTTGTTGACTGTGTGCAAGTGCCCATCTGACGGCTGAGGCACGTGCCAATGCCCGGTTTAATTGGTGCATGCAGGCCGCACGTAAGCAGAATTGCTCTGCAGCAGGCCATTTGGCACGGGTCGTTCTCCCGGAGCCTTGCCGGTTGCTTGGATGCTGTCGCGATGCATGGGGGTGTGCATCAAAGCAGACACACGTTTTCTAGATCGCAAGGACCTATATTATCATGTCAGAACGCAACGGGGTTGCCCAGGGTCAGGTGCCAGAAGACCTATTTTTGGAATCTTGGAAAGATATGGCCACAAACTGCGCTAAGCATTCTGACGGTTTCTGGGGGTTATCAAAGTCAGCCACCAAGTTCGGTGTGTCTCTTGAAGCTACCACTTGTGGCATGACAATGGCAGCAGGATAGGACCCAAAGTGCCCCAGCCAGGATCAATGTTATCCACATTCAACAGGGGCGGCTTTCTGCAGCACAGGACCTGCATTTAAACCAAGCAAGGGGCGAGTGCGGATTTGGTCGTGGAGTTGGCTTTCCACTGCAACACGTGGCTTCTCCCGATGACGCTGAACTCCTTCAGGCTGAATTTCGACCAACCCCACCGCCTGTCATTTGACTGCTGCAGTACTTGAATTCGGGCTCCCGATCTCGTTCGCACGAGAAAGCTTCAAACATGTTCTGAAACATCGCCGGGGGGAACTCAATCCACTGCCTTTAGGTGCTTTGAACTTTGACCACCCCGGCCGTTTGACTACCGAGGCGATGGGATCTACGCGGACTCCGAGCGGCAGAAGTCGAGGAGGAGCCGGCGAGTTCCTACGCGCAGCGCGGAGGTGTGTGAGGACGAGCCGAGCTGGGCCCGGGAAAAGCTATCCGGATTTGTCTCCAAATAGGAATCGACACTCCAAAACCAAAATGACGACTGATTTCATGTTGTTTTCTTCAAAACAAGCCAAAGACGAGTTTCAAGAAAAAGATAGTCCACCTATGTGCTTCAAACTTCACACACCCGTTTTGCACCAAGTTTTCCTGCTTTCAAGGAGACAACGCCCGAACCCCTCAAAATGGAACCACTCTGGACCTGGATCAGACCACACGGCCGCCCTACAATTTCAAATTTCGCAATCCTACCGTGGGATGGTCCCACCAGATGGATTGCCTACAGGCGGGAAGGACTTTTCGATTCGGCTCTTTAAGATTTCTAAAGGGAAGACCACCCAGTAGCAGCTGAGAGAACCCGCTGCCCTCTGGGAAGGATGGAGATGCTCTGAGCATTCGGCTCTGCACATGTTTCTCTACCGTGACGGAGCCTATAAGTTATTCAAAACCATTGCAAGGAAGCCAACGCGGGTGGAACATGATCCAAAGGAAACCTCAACCCTGCCCCCTTAAACATGCAACCTTCTCTATGTGGGGAAGAATGGGAAAATGGTTGGTTGGGGGAGCACCCCGTAGGCAATCCTGAAGTTCTTGGCAGGGAACTAGGAAATGCCCATGAGCCATCCCACACATTCCCCAACCCCCTGAAACAAGTCCGCCGAAGGTCGACGTTTATCCACGCACACACCCATCTCTGCTGTGGATGGATGTGGATGGACAAAATTCGGCACCGAGAATGAAACACTGTGACCACTGGAGCAAACCACCTGCCGACTGGTGCCTAAGTTTGTCCACCCCACCGTTTTTTTTGTTCCCTTTTTTTCTGGTGCGTTCATCGTAATAAGGCAACTACAACCAATGGTAAACCCCCGTGTTCCTTCACCGAGCTACCGAGTAGTGGGGAACAGCTTAGACAAAAGAACGTCTCCCCATTTTTCCTCTTGGGAATATATTTTGCGTCAGGCACACGGGCTAATCACGTGTCTTTGGCAGGCCAAAGAAACTCTGGCGATTTCCGGTTTCAGAATGCTATACCTCTGTAATTTTATCTCTTGTATGGTTTGCGTTTGTTTGCATGCCATGTATTTCACTTGTTTTTTTTACATGACCTAACCGATGTTTAATATTATCTAAAATAAAATAACAGTTGTTAACGTCACCCAACTGAAGCAAATCTGGGGGAAGCCCACTCCCCGGAGGACACGGACCTGGCGAAGCGCTGCGAGCGGCTGCGGCGGCAGCTGGCGTCCAGGGACGCCAGCGGCGCCCTGGGCGCCGTGTGGGCGCTGAGTCGGGACCCCGCGGGCTGCCGCCTCGTGCAGTCCGCCCTGGAGCGCCTCGGTGTGGCTGTGGGTCAAAAATAGGGTAACCCCAAAATGGAACCCTGGTAAGTGGCAACAAGGACCAAAACCTGTGGTCCCCTGGTGGTCTATTTTTGACCCACACCCGTGTTGGGACACTCTTGAAACTCAGTTGTTCAGTGGCAGCAATTATTTTTCCTTTTTTTTGGTGGCTGCCCCACTAAAAATGGTCTTCCCCAAAAAGGGTTCCTTTTTTTCCTTAGGGTCACTGAACAAGCGAGGAAGCTTCTCTTTGTTTTTGCGGGGAGGACCCGGAGCCAAACAAACATTCAGGTGGGAAGCAACAAGTCTGGGGATCTTCATGTTTCACATGGTCGAAGCA